AAGAACACAATCGTCGGGAACGATTTCATCCGTGGTGTATCCGGTGGTGAGCGCAAGCGAGTCAGTATTGCCGAGGCTTGCCTCAGCAGTGCTCCCCTGCAGTGTTGGGATAACTCCACCCGCGGCCTTGACAGCGCAAATGCCATTGAGTTCTGCAAGGCGCTTCGTATGCAGGCAGATATCAACGGTGCCACTGCCTGTGTTTCGCTATACCAAGCTCCTCAAGCTGCCTACAACTATTTCGACAAGGTGCTGGTATTATACGAAGGTCGCCAGATCTACTTCGGTCGGACAGACGCCGCGAAGCAGTACTTCTTGGACATGGGCTTTGCCTGCCCCGAGCGACAGACCGATGCAGACTTCTTGACATCTATGACTAGTCATCTCGAGCGTGTTGTGCAGCCAGGTTACGAAGGCCGCGTGCCTCGAACACCGGATGAGTTCGCCGCACGATGGCAGGCCTCACCCCAGCGAGCACGGCTTCTTCAAGACATCGAGAACTACAACGCAAAGTTTACGCTGGATGGAGAGTTCCTGGGCAAATTCAGGCATTCTCGTCGAGCTCAACAAGCCCGGGTCCAGCGCGTATCCTCACCTTACACTCTATCCTATGCACAACAGGTGAATCTGTGCCTATGGCGTGGATACCAACGCTTAAAATCCGATCCCAGTGTCACAATATCGTCGTTGATTGGAAACGTGATTACTGCTCTTGTGGTTGCCAGTATCTTCTATAATCTCCAGCCGAACACCAGCACCTTCTTTCAGCGCGGTGCCCTTCTCTTCTTCGCTTGTCTCATCAATGCCCTTGGTTGCGGTCTGGAAATGCTGACGCTATATGCGCAACGTGGGATTGTAGAGAAGCACGCGCGATATGCTCTCTACCACCCATCTGCCGAAGCAATTTCATCGATGATCATGGACTTGCCGTACAAAGTCCTCAACGCCATCCTGTCGAATACCGTTCTCTACTTCATGACCAACTTGAGGCGAGAACCTGGGGCTTTCTTTTTCTTTATCTTTACTTCATTCACCCTGACGCTGACAATGTCAATGTTCTTCCGGTCGATGGCATCGTTGACGAGATCTCTGGTTCAGGCATTGCCCTTTTGCGCGGTTGTCCTGCTCGGTCTATATTCGTATACTGGGTTTGCGATCCCGACAGGGTATATGCTCGGGTGGGCGCGGTGGATCGCCTATCTCAATCCGATCAACTATGGCTTTGAGTCTCTCCTGGTCAACGAGTTCCACAACCGGAACTTTCAGTGCGTGGGATTTGTCCCGTCGGGTGCTAGCTACATGGACCTCCAGCCTGGGAACCAAGTGTGCCCTACCGTCGGATCCGTACCCGGTCAAGGATTTGTCAATGGCGATGCCTACATCCAATCAGCCTATGACTACAACGTGTCGCACAAATGGAGAAATATCGGAATCATCCTGGCCTTCATGGTCGTTCTTGGGGCCATCTATCTGGTCGCGACTGACTTTATCACCGAGAAGAAGTCCAAGGGTGAAATCCTAGTGTTTCCCCGCGGGCATGGGGCACTCAAGAGCGGCAAGCCGGACGATTTTGAAGGGGGCAGTGACCGTACTGCGTTTCAGGAGAAGTCCAAGTCCGACCCCGATGACCTTACGATGATCGAAAGCCAAACTGCAATCTTCCAGTGGCAGAATGTTTGTTTCGATATTAAGATTGGGAAGGAGAACCGCAGGATCCTGGACCACGTTGACGGCTGGGTCAAGCCAGGAACCTTAACCGCTCTGATGGGGGTTTCTGGCGCTGGAAAGACCACACTGCTGGATGTCCTAGCTACACGTACCACGTTGGGCGTGATCAGTGGAGAAATGCTTGTCGATGGTAGGCCGCGGGATGAATCGTTTCAACGCAAGACTGGCTATGCCCAGCAACAGGATCTGCATCTGAGCACTGCCACAGTGCGCGAGGCGCTCGAGTTCTCAGCTCTTCTTCGTCAACCGGCTCATGTTCCTCGCCGAGAAAAGATCAATTACGTGACCGAAGTCATCAAAATGCTTGATATGGTAGACTATGCTGACGCTGTCATTGGCGTCCCCGGAGAAGGCCTCAATGTTGAACAACGGAAACGTCTTACGATCGGGGTAGAGCTTGCGGCGAGACCGGCCCTGCTTCTGTTCTTGGATGAGCCCACGTCGGGGCTCGATTCCCAGACATCCTGGGCTATTCTCGATCTCCTCAATAAACTGAGGAAGAACGGCCAAGCGATCTGTAAGTTCGGGGGTTCATGCATTCATCAATTTTCACTAACATGATCTCAGTGTGTACCATCCATCAACCATCTGCAATGCTGTTTCAGCGGTTTGACCGCCTCCTCTTCCTTCAAGCCGGTGGACAGACCGTATACTTTGGAGACATTGGCCAGAACTCGCATATTCTGATTGATTACTTCGTGCGCAACGGTGGCCCTCCCTGCCCCCCAGCCGCGAATCCCGCTGAATGGATGCTTGATGTGATCGGTGCCGCGCCCGGCTCCCACACAGACATCGATTGGTTTGAGACGTGGCGCAATTCCCCTGAATACGCACAAGTGCAAGCGCACCTCAGCTCACTGAAGCTCGAACGCGCCCAGCAGAACCCACTGGCCCGCGTCAGCTCCAGCACCGAGCGCGAGGACCGAGCCAGCTATCGCGAATTCGCTGCCCCTTTCTGCGCCCAGCTCCGCGAAGTGCAGATCCGAGTCTTCCAGCAATTCTGGCGCTCCCCGATCTACATCTACTCCAAGGTGATTCTCTGTGCCTTGCCCGCGCTCTTCGTCGGCTTCTCTCTCTTCAACACCCCGAACACAATCCAGGGCCTGCAGAACCAAATGTTCAGCATCTTCCTGTTACTCATCCAGTTCGGGCAACTCATCCAACAGATCATGCCGCATTTCGTCACGCAGCGGGCATTATACGAAGTGCGCGAGCGGCCGTCGAAGACGTACTCGTGGAAGGTCTTTATGCTCAGCAACATCGGCGTCGAACTGTTCTGGAACTCGCTCATGTCCATCCTGATGTTCCTGTGCTGGTACTACCCGATCGGGATGTATCGCAACGCGGAGCCCACCGACACCGTCCACCTGCGGGGCGCGCAGATGTGGCTGCTGATCTGGACCTTCCTGCTGTTCTCGTCAACCTTTGCCCATTTCATGATCGCGGCGCTCGACGCCGCCGAGAATGCGGGCAACCTGGGCAGTTTCCTGCTGTTGCTCTGCCTGCTCTTCTGCGGGGTCCTCGCGACCCCGGCCCAGCTGCCCGGGTTCTGGATCTTCATGTACCGCGTCTCCCCGTTCACCTACCTGGTGGGCGGGATGCTGTCCGTCGGGATCGCGGACACGACCGTCACCTGCGCCGACAACGAGTATCTGCGCTTTGACCCCGTGAATGAGACGACCTGCGGCCAGTACCTGGCGCCGTACATCGCGCGGGCGGGCGGGTATCTGCAGGACGAGACCGCGACGGCGGCCTGCCGGTTCTGCCCGGTCGCGGACACGAATGCGTATCTGCGCGGGGTCGGGGCGAGCTACGCCGATGTCTGGCGGAACTTCGGGCTCATGTGGGTGTTCATCTTCACGAATATCGTGGCCGCGTGTCTGCTCTACTGGTGGACGAGGGTACCGAGGGTGAAGAAGCCGGTCGTGGCTCCTCAAGCTTGAGGGTTCACCCGTGCCCTGTCGTCATGGGCAAGTTTGTTGTTGTATTCTTTCTCTTCGCGCTATCACTTGTATTAATACCGTCTTTATGGATTAGGGCATTTGCATGATGTTGCCGAATCAGCAATGATAGTAAGAACAGGGCTAGTACTAGAAATGGCTTTTCCAAGGTTAATTACTCATGTCGATAGACGGTACATGAACTTAGTAGCTCTAGATTCTGCATTTCTAGAACATATGCAAGAGAAGGTCGTGTAACTGCTGCACCATCGGGATGACTGCTCAACCTTCCCTGAGGCGCACTTGCCCTAACTCCGAGATCGTCGCAATGACAGAGGTATCGGGAACGGTGTTTGGATAGAATGCGGCACTTGCTGACCGCGCGCCGCCACGGTGGAGGCCGAGGAGACCAAGGATCCCGTGGGGCTCACAACAGAATTGTCAGTATTGGCTCATCAACAAAGATATCGAGATCACGAGTGACCCGAGTTGCATGTGGTGGCCTCGATAGCCCCTATAAACATCCCGCCTGCGGAAATTCGGAATCCTCTGGTTTAATGTGATCGTGAACCTGGTACACCGTGCGCCGCTGTTTGAGACCGGCACTAGAAAGGGAGTATGTAGTAAGCCGCAGTCACCCAATGATCTCAATATTCTTTTTGATCCGCGGCACTTGTGTGGCGCTACACTCTGTTGTTTGTACTTACAAGGTTGCAGCGGAGGTGGAGTACCGGATTGTCGGGGCGGCCGCTGTCAGCGTGGGGTCCGGATAGAAACCCCGGAGTCGAGCCTTGTTTCCTCAGCCTCGTTTGAATTTCTGCAATCCCGCCCGCCCTTAAAGAGTCAACTAGGTAACATGCTGCTAATCTGTGCATCGAAAAGCCTTTTTCCCACGGAACATTTGGGTTCATATGATTCAGATTGCGAGGTCACACTTCGTGGCACATTTTTTCCTATTCCAAGAGAATACTGTACTCCACTCTTTTAGTGCTTGGTGCATTTTAAGGTAGTAAGGACATCAGTGGGAGCCAGAATCAGTGAGGGAGTTAACTTATTATTTGCGGCCACTCGCTGCGCTCTGGAGCGGGAAGTGGAGCCGAAAAAAAAGAGGTAAGTAAGGCTACTGCCGGTCCGGCGCTAAATGCTCACAGTAAACAGCGAGTATAGAGGCCGAGGGGGCTGAACGCTAACACGAGAAAGCGATATGCATAAGCAAACAAAACATGATAGAAGAGAGGCTACGATACAACGAAATTACTTAGACATACATCATAACACGCTCGACTTGCTTGCACGAGTGCAGTTGAGCCATACGATCTTCCCCCCCATCACTCAAGGCGAACTTGGACTCGACGATCTGTGGTCATCGCTGATGAGACCGATATTAGGATGACTGTTAATGTGCACTTCATGAAGTGCAAGTTCGTCATCCAGCCGTTCGAATTCACGAGTAAGATTGCCTTTCACTTTGCCGTTGAGCTTTCGACTCGATCGGCTACTATAGTTCTCACCGCTGTTGGAACTGTCTTTCGTACCCTGAAGCATGCCATTACTGAGTGTCAGGTTAGAGCTGTCAATGGGGGACTCATCAATCCTCGTCAGGCAATCAAGCAGCTCAGGGGGAGTACGTACGCTCCAAATAGCTCGGTTATAGCAGGTTTGATTGTGGGCAAACACGCGTTTACAACCCCAAGGGTTGGTTCCAATACCGAGTAAATGGCACCAGGTGTAACGGTGTAGGTCAGGTCAGCTAGATTCCAAGTCCATAACCAAACGACCCTCAATAGAGAAATAACACAAATCCTGGCAAGCGTGAACATACTAAGTAAGCTATGTCTGCCAGCAAAAAGAAAAATGAAAAGAAAAATGAACCCAGAGGAGCAGACTTACAACGCCCCGAGGCTGAACATTGCAGAGACGGCAATTTTTTTAGACAAAATCAATTGCAGGTTGAAAACCAGAGGCATCGGCAGTACAACAATGAAAGTGTCAATGGTGAGATTGACAATGCCAGCAACCAGATAAGCGATATTTTCACCCGTGCAATGTCCCTCAATCGATTTGTCCCAGTTATACTGGACAGGTTTGCAAAGCGCGAAGGTCTCGACCAATACCATGGCGAAATACGCGGCAGTGATGAAGAGGGTACCATAGCACAAACGGCAAAAGACCTTGTTGGGAAAGAGGTCGATGTAGAGACATAATATTGATGCCTTGACACACGAGTTGGCTGCGGCCCACAGCAGCTGAGCAGGTATGAAAAGCTAAACAAGTGGTGAAGGACAGTTAGCTGAGGGTGTACTGGACAGGGTAGAAATTTGTGTAATACCCATCAACCCACCTTCATGTGCAGAGCGAACTTTCGGGGTGCTGTTGCTAAAAGTTCATCTAAATGAACCCCTAAGCCAGCTGCAAAGCCAGCTAGATTGTGTGAAGCGTGAGTCCAGATTTTGTCTCTTCAATCCGAGGGAGTTCAAAGTTCAATAAACCTACCTGCCAGAAACACAGACAAAGCGGACTCAGCCAGTATCAATGCTACCAATGCCAAGTAATCATTTCCAGCGAGATGCCTTCCCTGGAGATACCTGGACCACAGTCTGAGCGCCACAGCGATGATAGCCATGGGGCCCACGATGAATGATACCACAGCTAGCTGTACGGCTCCTAATGGGAGTGTCATATTGAGAGAAAATGATAAATCAGATCGCCTCACCGTGTCAGAGGGAGAAGGGATCAAATGTCAATGAATTGAGTCTTGAGATCACAATAAATCATTATCTGACTTAAAGTTTGAAAAAAACCCGAGTACCAGAGAGCTGTAAAAAGACAGTCTGGACGATCGTGGGTCATATGCGCAGTAATCACAATAGTTGTCACACTTGACAGGGGTCAATTCTGCCTTGTCCAGCCTGCAAGGCGAGCCCACTACGAGCACCAATCTGCGGTACCGTGCATGTAACAAGATTTGAGGGGCCTGAATTTGGAGATACACATTACACAGTTGCCCTTACACTTCTGATTCTTCTTCTTCTTCTTCTTCTCCTCCTCCTCCTCCTCCTCCTCCTCGTTCCCAGCTTGACTCAAGCATGAACAAATAATCATATGCTCTTATAGCAACACCGAGTGGCCCACACACCACCCACAGGATGTATTCCAAGGCTCAACAAGCTCTCTGGGACTAGCCGAACCGCCCGCCCCACCCGCCCGCTGCGAACAGGCGCATCTCTTTCAACTCGCTTAGGCCTAGACTAATGGAGGCATCCGATTGCCGACCCCATCTAACACCAGCCCCCAACAGATTTCCAAAGCTCCACCTCTCACCTCTGTACCCATTAGTCTAAAGCAGCAGACACAATCCACACTTACTCAGTTAACTAATCTCAAAAGGGTATAAGGAAAGAGAGATCAATTGATTTGTTCTGAAAGCATATGTCTCCACAGCAACAAATTCACAAGCGCCCAATCTCCCAAACACCTAGTCCATTTCACAAAGTACTAGATTAGTCGCATTCTTGTCCGGGGAAAGATTTTCTGACCTTGGACTATTTTATGAAACATCAAAACTCTCTTAATCAAGTTGCTATATTATACTCTACTATCTTATATAATCATGTAATCCCCTGCCAGAGGGCTATACACAATCACCTAATTCTCTAATTTAACCAACACAATCCTCACGTTACCTTGCCTAATCCATATAAACTAATTAAAATAATCTCTACAGAGTTATGTTGAGAGCGTTTTCTAAATCTGATAAATACTTAGATTGTTTTATGTTTCCTGTAGCCCCTCACCCGCGCTTCAGAGAGAGACACCAGTGACGTGTGCATATCGTCACCAACATGCTTTGTAAAAGCCTCAATCTTTACTCAGCGAACAGATACCAGATAAGGCAGGCAGGAACTTTAGACTAGAAATATATTGAATATACTCGATTACACAGAACAGACGAAACATATCAATGCCACTATTCTTAGCACTTAAATGCAATGTAGCACTTTGCGCAGTGGACGGAATGCAATCAAGAGATTGAGCGAGTTCACAAGGAAGTGAAAGTAGTGAGTTTACATGTGACCAACTAGCTCGGGAAGCCTGATTCTCTTTCTAGTTCAGTCCGCACTAACCTACCAACTTTTCCTTATATCGTACATTCATTCTCTGTCTAGGCAGGTCCCACCAGTCCAGGCGTCCGACGGACATCGATGCAGCAGAGCAACCGCTCAAACCACACTAACTTCCATGCATAGGGGTCGAGGTTCTTGAGAAGTAGCCATCATGCCACCTAGTCAAGGCAAGTCAGCCTCGGACTACTACAGTTTGAACAAGTACTCCGTACTATACGATTTAACACCTCATCTTGGTACGCATTATGGTCCGAAGGGAGACTCGTGCCAGGGGTGGGGACTCTCCCCCTTCCCCTCCCTCTCTTTCCGAGACGTAAACCAGACGACTTGAGTAGACTCGACTTTACTCTCCAGCCTACCCATCATTGTTGGTAATCAGCCTCAAATATCTATTATCACAGTAGTGTCTATCCCCTTACAAGCACCTCGAACTCACATTTATTTCCTCGGTTACTGTATTATTTGATTTGCAATGCATTGACCAATCAGAACATCTGTCCCTATACACAGTTTACAGAGCCTAACTAGTACACATTTCGCAGGAAGACGAGATTGCCTCACACTGAAGTGACTTAGAAAATACGCAGAGGCATAACAAAGAGTCCAATGAGCAATGAGCCATAATGGGTAAATCTGCCACGACCTCCGATCTCCCTCACGAGTTGTGCTCCAGTAAAACCCCCAAACCACTATAGTGCCCGCAACGCACGCGGGGAGGCAGGAAAGCCATGAGCGTTCCGCCGAGCCCACATCCCAAAACCAACAGGACAACGCTGTCCACGCTATAATTCCCACTGCCAGGGCAGACCGAGCATTCTCGTCTCCGATCAACAGGGGCACTGTCCTTCGACCGGTGGCTCTATCTCCATCAATGTCCCGAAAGTCCTGGGCGTGGACGGTGGTCGTAATTGCCCCAGCGAGAACAAGGAGCCATGTGAATGCTTTCATGTCGTCCGAAAGAACGGAGCTGTTTGTTGCAACCTCCAGTGGACCAGCAAAGAAGCACGCGAACCCAATCCCATTCAGCAAGTTCTTCAATAGTGGGTTCGATGCACCGTTCCATTCGTTGTACCACAAGCAGGAGAATGCCTCCAGAAGACAAGGCGCAACACCCCCCATGGTGCCTGAAATTACAAACATGGCAGGATACATGCAATATATCAGCATCTTGGCTTGGTGCGGAGTTATCCGGCCGGCTGAAAGAGGTCTCCAGGGCTTGTTGATCCTGTCCTCCGAGATGGCAGAGGCAGAGCGCTGATTATGGAGGGTGAAAAGAAATAGATTGCTCCATGACCAGAGAAACATTCGAGGCAACGACACCAGTATCTGGCGGAAAGACAAAGAGGCGCCCATGCCGAATTCAGACGCCACAGAGGCATTCAATGCTCCAAACAAAAGCCCCAGGCAAATAATATCTTTGATATTATCGCAGACAAATAGATGGGCAGTGTATGCATGATAGAACGATGATGATAGGAAAGACGCCATGGTTGTAGATATGATGGAAGTCAGCGAATTTGGGAATAGGAAAATTTAGGTAGTGTCTCATAGCCAGCCGTCGTGTGCCAGTATCCATAATCTTGACTGCCTTTATTTATCTAGAGCCGCAATCGATCTCAGTGTGATATGAGGCTAGCTCGAAAGCTAGTTCGGATGTCACGCAATATACAAAACGTTCCCATACCCACTAACAAGGAGACAATCCTTCGGGGTGGATCTATATGACAGGCGGAAAATTCTATAACAGGCCGGGAACCATCCATGTCTCCATTTCATCTTTGCTTTCGGTGCCCACTTCTATTCTTCTTGCTTTGTCAAAGTTAAGATAGATATTTTATCCATTCTTGAATTGTTTTGTCTTTGAATAATGCCATGTGAATAATTCAGAGGCAATAGCTTTGTCGGGATCTTTAACAAGAGCCCAACGTAGCTCATTCTCGGCCTTTGGAAGTCAAAGATCAAAATAGTCATTTTAATTTCTCAGTCTGCAATTTATCTGTACCTATCCGCTAGATCCAGTTAGGGGTTAGCCTGTGTCGGCTAACCACAGCAGACCCATCTTTAGTATTGAATTGGAAAGGTAAACTAGTATCCGGTTTGATTCCTCGTTCAAGTGCTTACCCCTGATCCTAGTCATCATGTTTCTAGATCTTCCCGGATTGCCCCGGGAGTTCGTCCACAAGGGTCTTTGTCTAGCGGACTTCCCCCGCCCCCCTCTTTCTTTCTTTCTTTTTTCTTTTGGGAGATATTCTGAAGACTTTTTCTGTGAAGATCTCATTCAAAGACTCTGTTTGAGGTTCTGTCCAGTAATAGTTTCGGCAATTCTACCAGTCATACCATCAGATGTCTACGGGGCCTTAACGGGGTCCTTTATGGGGGTTCTCTGGGGGGCTCGGGAGGGCTCGGGAGGGCACTACTGGTGGGGCCGCTAGCAGGAGTTAGAGAGTCAGGCCAGATTAAAACCACACAGCGAAGACAAAGCATTTCCCGAAAGACCGTTTGTTTGTAAATCTTCCATCTATCTGGAATGGTGGGGTCTATTTTGCATATATCGTTCTGATAAGAATTTACTTGCTTACGAAAATATACGACTAGCTATTGCTTTTACCTATGGAGGTTTAACTTATGACCTAAGGGGGACCAGAGTGCGGCAGTGCCACTACTTCTACACAACACATTTCTTACCAAGACACCAATTCTTTTCAAAAGGGTTATATAATTTCAAGTACCATCCCTCGTCACGAAATTCACAACTCGTAATAATTTTCAAAAGGTGTCTAAAATCCAATAAAAATCTTTGATCGGCGCTTGAGGTGACTGCATTATGTATAGCATACTTCTTAACTATTCTATCTAATTTTTGAAGGAATCATTCTGTGCCTTTGGTGTTGAAACGTTGTTTGTAATATATTACAAGTTGTGAGATTTGGGGGGAGAGAGGGTTAGTCTTTACTTCTATATAGGAATATATTACCATTGACTACAAATATATACAATATTTCATAACACCCCTGCAAGCAAACAAGTAAGCAAGACCGTCATAGTATACAGATAATTAAGCAAGCCGGCAAGGCCTTTCACAGCACACAAACAAGCAAGTAAGCAACCAAGCAGAATTGTTTGCAGCACCCAAACATGCAAACAAGCTGGCAAGGCCCTTTACAGTACACAAATGAGCGAGCAAGTCGGCGAGACCTTAAACAGCACCTCCGAAAAAAAAAGAATAAGTAAACCCTTATAAAGCATCTTTTTTTACGATTTTCACAACTGTGTAGTTTCTTCCCATAGATTATAATCAATTCCAAGAGTTTCCTCAGTTAGAAATAATAGTTTTATCTGTGAGTTGTAGGTAAAATCAGCAGCCGTTCCGGAAGTGCGTGGCCCCCTCTAGTCTGTGCTGAATCGGCCGGGAGGAGCCTTGAGTACTCCAAAATTCCATGCATGGGGCCATAATGCATACCACTAAAATTGAATAGGAGTAGAATGCAAGCGGCCAAGATGCAAGGGGCTAGATAAAGGCTGTGATTGCTGCGAGCCCAGGATAGTCCGGGCGTCTGCATAAGGCTGGGATTCTGAGAATTACATGTAACCGCCGATATTTCAGCTCACCTTTAAACTGATAACTCATTGTCAGGTCAATAGCCTTGTAGGTGTGTGTATTACAACCTAAAGTCCTGTTATCGGAAGGCGAAATAAGCTTTTTTCCGGAAGAACTTTCGAGGTCTATTCTCCTTATTATTCTAAAGTTCATTTCCCTAAGTTATAGGTACTCTGAGGTTAACCCTATTTATAATTCGATACAATCCTCTATCCTCCAGGTTCGAGGGTACCCTCTAGATTGATACAGTAATATATCTGTATAAAAGCCCGCAATGATTATCTCAGACTTCGGTTTCATGTTACGTGACTAGCGGTTAAAACTCGTAGTGGGGCAGAAGCGGGTGATTTGACAATGAGACCATAAAGATCATAGACATGCTAACTGCATTGAGAGGCCGGTTCAATTTAGTACTTTTGGGCGGGGTAGAACTGGCATTTGTGGGACTCACTATAGCGTCTCTAGGTAGTATCGCGCTAGGTGGTATTGATAAAATTTATTTCCTTATTCACTTTTAGATAGTACTGATGTGTATATATGCTCCTATCTTCTGTCTCCTGGTATTCTCTTGCTCGGTAACAAGCCATTATTTGCTACGCTCGCGGTCCCTTTCTTTCCATACTTTCGTCCAATCTTTGTCCAAGTCTGCACACATAACAGAATGGCTACCGCATATGATTTTGTCATTATTGGCGGCGGTACAGCTGGCCTGGTGGTTGCTTCTCGACTCAGCGAGGACCCCAGCCTATCTGTCCTGGTTCTTGAAGCGGGCGCCGACATGACAGCAGATCCTCGCGTGAACATCCCCATCTTTTATGCCGCACTCATTGGATCTGATGCTGATTGGAAATTCCAGTCTTGCCCTCAGGTAAGAACCGTCTCTGTCTCCAAAGAAAGAGAGTGTGCTAGAACTGATCCATCATTCTTAAAGCCGGGCCTCAATGGCAGAGTGCTTGGTCTCAACCAGGGCAAAACACTCGGAGGATACAGTTCGTTGAATGCACACGTGTTTGTTCCTCCTTTCAAGGGAGCTGTTGACGCATGGGAGGAACTCGGTAATCCTGGATGGAATTGGACTATGTTAAAGGACTATTTCTCCAAGGCCTATAACAGTCCGACCGTAGCACAGGATGCGAGAGAAAATCTGGCGATTGAGGACTGGCCTGGATTGAACGAAGCGAAAGGTCCAGTCCAAACGTCTTTCGGTAACGAGACACACCCTATTCGCAGGGCATGGGCCGAACTGTTCCGCAGCAGTGGGCAATGCAATGCCGGTGATCCGTTCACCCACAGCTCTGTGGGCTCATTCAGTTGCCTTGCTTCTATTGACTCGCAGGGTAAGAGAAGCAACTCTGCCTCGGCTTATTATAAGCCTGCTGAGCTTCGACAAAATCTCCATGTTCTTACGAATTCATTTGTTGAGAGAGTGCTATTTGATGAAGGCAAGGCCCCCAGAGCTATCGGAGTCGAGTACCGTCTCGATGGTGTCTCAAAGACTGTTCAGGCAAAGAGAGAAGTTATACTTGCTGCTGGTGTCTTTCAGTCACCTAAGATCCTCCAACTTTCAGGAGTTGGTAGAGCAGACCTTCTTGAACAGCATGGCATTGATGTAGTCATGGACCTTCCGGGGGTTGGGCAGAATCTCCAGGGTAGGTGGACAGTACCCAATCCAGCACCGGCTCTTAAAGAACTTGAAACCATCTCTCTTTTTAACACGGATACTCGCTTTGGGTTGAGAACTAACATCTACTATTTCTAGATCACATGATATCGTACACCGCATTCCAAGCAAAGCCTGAACTTGAGACCAAGGACTCTCTGGTCAGACAAGAGCCTGAAGCCATTAGTCAAGCAATGCAGGAATACGCTGTCACGCAATCTGGGCCCTTAGCATCACTCGGAGTTTATACCTACGCCTATTTGCCTCTTCCCGAACTGGATAGAAGTGCTCTTCAGGCATTATTCACGAACAAGGCCCCTGGGAACTCCCAGCACAGGGCGACACAAGCCTATTTTGATATCGCCAAGACCACCGTTCTTGATCCCAAGCAACCATCAGCTGCGTACCTGTCCGCTTTGGGGCAGACGAATTATTCCAAAGATCTCAAGGACGGGAATATTCCAGCTGCTTCGCCTGGAAAGTTCGTGACGCTTGGAGTCATGCTCTCTCAACCGCTTTCCCGCGGAAGCGTTCGTATGTAAGTGATTGTCCTTTGCTGTTTGCTGTTTCCCAGTTTGAGTTTGAGAGTCACTTTTTACTCCCAATTTTTCCCATTTCACATGCCAACCTCCCTACCTCTCGCCCCCTCAAAGACTGTATATCCATCAAATCTGACGAAAAGTACCCAAGTACCTGCAACAACCCCGAGACGCCTCCAATCATTGATCCTGGGTACCTGTCGAATCCTCTAGATCTGGAAGTCATGGCACGACACTTGCTCCGTATCAAGAAACTGGCCGAGTCACCTCAGCTTGGGGAGCTGCTCGAACAGCCACTGAAATTCCGAGACCCAGACGCAGACTTCCAGGGAGACTTGGATGCTGCAAAGAAGTATGCTCGGGACAATCTAGTCTCCATGTGGCACTTTGCGGGGTCCTGTTCCATGCTCCCTCGCGAGAAGGACGGAGTGGTGGATCCCAATTTGAAGGTCTATGGTATCGAAGGCCTGAGGGTTGTAGATGCGAGTGCTATCCCGCTTGTAAGCACAGCGAATCTGCAAGCTACTGTGTACGCATTCGCGGAAAGAGCCGCAGA